TGTGTGTGTGTGTGTGTGTGTGTGTGTGTGTGTGTGTGTGTGTGTGTTGTGGTCTTGTGTTGGCAGCTTTACAGTCTTTCTGGTAGAGTAAAATTAATTTAAAATACAGTATATAAAGTGCATTCTTTGATGTTAGTCTCTAAGTCTAAACTTAATAGTGTGATCCTATTCCTTCAGGTCAGGGATGTGATATCACAGGCAGGTTTTTTTCATTACATTAGTCACTTTAGCAGACGCTTTTATCCAAAGCGACTTACAATTCAGATTCTATCACATTTCTACACCGTAGACACAACTACGGAAGCAATGTTGGGGTTAAGTGTCTTGCTCAAGGACACATCGCCATGCGACTAGCAGAGCCGGAGCCAGGGATTGAACCGCCGACCCTCTGATTGAAAGACGGCCCTGCCACTTAGCCACAGTCGCCCCACAGTCGCCCTTTTCAGGATGTTCTTTTGTTCATTCTTAATTGGAGGAACCTTTAAAAGTAGTATTTTACTGGGACACTCTTTCCTTACTTTTTCGGGTCAGTTACAGGTGCTGCTGATGTGAGCAGTTCAAGATTGGGTGTTTTCAGCCATGATGGATGTTATTTTCTTGATTGTTTTAGGACAAGATAGAATCTTAAACTTGCTCTAATATTTGGCTTTTATCAGCATTATTACACATGGTCACAACCTCTCCAACCACAGCTGACCTTTACAAAAGTTTTCTGTAGTGAACTTTGAGGCCAGTGATTGCATCACTTATCTGTGATAAGTACAAATTTTCAAACACACAATGGCAAATGTCATTCAATCATTCATTCTTCACCATATAGTTCATGACATAATGCTTTCCCAAAGTCATGGTGAGAAATATTTAACCCTTGATGGTGTTCTGACATCATCTCAGTGCATCGTAGAAATAAGTGTAAAATCCTTGGTCACTAACTGAGAGCTGCACAGATAGGGGGAGGAATAGAATGACCTGACTATATCTAACACACTATAGTCCTCCACATAGAATTCCCTATATAGTGTGTACTGAATAGTGATCAATTTCTGCTCATATCTGACTGAAGAGTCATCTTCTCTTCTGTGCAGCGTGAGCAAGCCCTGAAGCAGAAGAAGGGGTTGTCGCTGGAACTGGCAAACCTTCGAGACGAACTGGGTAAGAGACTGTCTCTCTGCACATCCACACACCACCATGCTCTCTCTCTCTCGATCTCGCTCGCTCGCTCTCTCTCTCGCGCGCTCTCTCTCGCTCTCTCGCTCTCTTTTTCTTTCTCTCTTTTTCTCTCTGCATTTGCATATGACACGCAAATACAAAGCTTATCAAGGACAGGTCAACTGCCTTTTAAAAGCTGGTGTATTTCTGTTGTAATACTGAGGTGCAGCTGCTTCTCATTCTTAGCAAAGGCTCAGAGCAAGAGAAGCCTTCGCGCAGGATGAAACCTGCCAACATATCCGTCATCCGCACTGTGCACCTGTGTTTTTCTGAGTTTATTATGTGCACATGAGGACCAGTGCATTATACATTAACATCAATGAGTTGTACGGGTTTCAATTTTGAGACATTATTTTAATTACAATGAACAGGTTAAACAATGTGACAGCCTAAAGCAGTCGGTGCAACTGGGTTGGATTTACAATTAAATCTGGATTGTTGCTTTACAGCACAAACATGAATAGCTTTATGGCAGAAAACAGTAAAGTCAAATTTAAACTTTTGAATACAGTTCAAAAGTTTGGAATCAGCTGTTATATTGCTGTTCTTCTTCTTTCCTTCACTGATAACTATTTGAACAGAGATAAAAAACGAAAAAAAACCGGTAGAATTCAAACACAAAATCTACATTTGAAATAATTTTGGCCCTAAAAGTTAGTTGATGTCCCGACAGAATTCTTAATTTGTTTTCCAGTCCAGAAAACGGGAAGTGACCCTCCATTATTACTGAATCACAACGGTGCAACTGGGTTCTAAATACTGAGTTAATCTATTTTTCTTCTCAGTGGTTAGATTTAAAGTCCCAGCGAAAGACATTATCTTCTGTACTGTAAGAAGTTTCATGCTAGGCTTCACTTTTAATTTACCAATGACTGGTGATTTGTTCTATTCTTAGGCAACTGTTGCTTTGGAGGATTTTTATCTCTTTCTGCCCTTTCAATTGTCAGTCTGGTTGAACCATTGTACAGTGTTTCGTTCTCTAGCAAAATAACTATTATTTGCCCACACAAGTCCACTACTATGAGGATCAGCATACAAAGGCCTCTCCTAATTCCACCACTGCACTTCACAACGATCTTGGGTCACAAGTGAAACATCCAACACAATTGTGGCAGATAAGTAATACTTGAATGACAACAGATCACCTGGCACTGCTGCTGGTTTCCTAATCATGTTCAGAAAATGATTAGGAAACAGTGCGTGCGTGGTATGTGACTCAGTAGTTTGGCAGTCTGCCATTTAGTCTGTCATTGAGACGTTGCAGTCTGCCATTTAGTCTGTCATTGAGACGTTGCATGAGTTCTACATTGATGGTTACAAACAATGTCCTTACAATTAGTTGGCTTCTATTTGGGGATCTGAACACATCAACTGACAATCCACTGGAAATAATTACGCTTTGTGTGCTAAATAATAACTGATACTGGTATGTATGCATTTAGTCAGATAGCTGGCAGTGTGTATCATGTCAATAGCAGCTCTGCCTGTTTGGCTGATAGAACAGGATTAAAGAAGATCTCACACATACACACCTACTGTCAAACTAACACACCATAGTGACACACAAACAGTGCACTGTATTTACAGTACATGGCAACATGAAGGCATGTATTTCTGCACACAAACATGCACATGGAAATATGCACTCACACGCATGCATATCTGTATATTAAGAGTAACCGCGACTAATTTAAGTATAAGCATTTCAGTACACTTTGCTCTGAATGCCATGTTAAATTTGGCTTCCATATGTACACTCACACTTCATGCACACTGCTGCACATGCCAGGCACCACAAACACACACACACACACAGCAGCAGAGCACATCCTGAAAGCCTTTTTCCTGTTCACCATCACGTTCTTCCTAAAACACCCCCTCTCTTTCCACTGAACCTCTGTCCATCATTCTGAGCCACAGTGACTATAATCTTTTCTTTTACTGTGTGTTTGACCTGTGGCTCATATCTTTACGCACAGAGCTGAGGAATGTCAGCTATGTATAGATCCCTGCTGTTACCACACACACACAGTTTTCTGTTAAACCTTCATAGTCTCCAAGTCAAACTGAACGGGAATGACCTGTTCCCGTTCAGGTTTTAATAGTTTGCCTGTGAAGTTTTACAATGTGGAGTTACACTGGCATCAATATAGAAATTGTAGGCACTGCACTTGCACTCTGCCCTGGGGAGAGTGCAAGCCCTCCAATAATGTATTAGATGGCAAGCGCTAGGTTCTTGCCTGTGATTCAGACACTTCTAAGATAAGCCTGTGTTAAAAGAACTGTCACGAAATAACTGTTAGTGCCATTTGCTATATTTTCCCTGGAAAAGGCAAACACACATCTCCACCACATCTTTTTCGGGGAGGGGTGATAGTCAGTAGCGCAAACAAAATGTATACAGGTAGACATTTTCACACTAGGGAGATTAAGAGGGGTCTCTTCTGAAATGATGTCATTATATTTCACCGCCACCTGCCAAGCACCTGCTGTTACACACAACACACACACACAGTTTGTGTTGTCCAGTCTATGATAGAGAGCAAGCTTGTGTTTAAGCTGCTCTCAGCTGTCGCGGGCTTTGTGTCTCCATCACCATGGTGACAGGCTCTTTCACTCACACTATAGGCCTCCATTCAGAGGGAAACAGCAACTGTCCCAGCTACAGCCAGTTGTTAGCAACCAGTTATATCTTGTTATTCCAGGCACAGTCTGTGTGTGTGTGAGCGTGTGTGTGTGTGCGTGTGTGTGTGTGTGTGTGTGTGTGTGTGTGTGTGTGTGTGTGTGTGTGTGTGTGTGTGTGTAAAGTTTTTTTTAATTTTTTTTTAATCAAATGTACCTTTCAAGCGATGGCATCCATATGTTGCTGGTGGATGACTGGTTCTGCTGCTCCAATACAGAACGCACTGAGTGATAGATCACTGCTTTAAAAGCTAACTAAATATTTCAGGTTTAGAAACAGACTTGAATTAAAATGTCGTGTAATGATGACGAAGACGTAAAGACATAGAAGCATGTATGTGCTTGTGAGAGAGAGAATGAATCCTGCTGCATACTTCTGAGCTGACTTGCAGATGTTTCAGGGTTGTCTGCTGTAAGAGTAATTAAATTGGAATGTGGTTGTCAGGGAATGCTGAGGAAGACAAGCCACACAAACACAAAGAAAAAATTATTCATTACCTCTTTAGACACCGACTGTTCCAGGCATGTCCCATCTCAGTATATTCTGGAGTGAACTAACATAATGTGATATGATGATTGTTGTTAAAATGGTAAATGTTCAAAATAGTAGCTTGTATTGGCTAACCAACTTCACATCTGGCCTCCAGTCCCCTAACGTCTGCCCTCAAAAAGGATTTATAACTGAGATCTTATGTTGTGTAATAAACTGCTGATTCCAAATCAGGTCATTCTGTTCTCTCCTCATCCAAGATATTTTTTGGTCTTGTGTGTGTGTGTGTGTGTGTGTGTGTGTGTGTGTGTGTGTGTGTGTATATATATATATATATATATATATATATATATATAGTTATATATAGTTAAATATAGTTAAATATATAATATATTAAATTATATATTCTGTTTGTGCAGCTCTGTGCTCTAATACAATTAGTCATTCAGTTTTGTTTTCTATCACTGTATTTTTGAGATATTGTTTCACAAAATGTTTAATTCTAGTTGAGTTTATGCTCTTTTTGTACTGTACATTCTTAATAAAAGAATGCTTTACTGCTCATTTCATATGAAATATTGATCCCTAAACTGAAGTCCAGGTACTTTCACTGCTCATTGAAGTGTTTTCAGTCAGAAGCACATACTAACATTTCCTCTGGCTCTTCTTGTCTCCTTCCAGTCGCATCGTCACAGTGCTGCGAGCGTCTCCAGAAGGGGAAGGAGGAGGTGCGCGTCAGCTTGCAGGAGGCCTTGAACAGGCTGCAGAAGCAGCACAAGGAAGAGCTTGTGCAGCTGGAGGACAGGTGCGGCATTTCCTTCTGCTGATGTGCTCACAGCTGGACACTCAGCCTCACACAGTACATGGAATATATATATATATATATATAACTCCTAAGTGTTACCACGCTATTGTTTAGAAATGAAAGCCTGCACTGATTCCACTGTTCTCTGCAAGTAACTTGTGTCTCAAATTTAATGTTCCTCTTTGTGTGTCAGATTGAGGAGTTTTTACCAAACGGAGTGGGACAAAGTCCACCAGACGTACCAGGAGGAGGCCAACAAATGTCGCATGTTGATGGAACAGCAGGTCGGAACATACACACACGTACACCCACACACTGTGTTGTTACAGTCACTTAAGTGTATACAGTAACAAGGAGTTACCTGTAAAATGATCTTTAGAGCCTTCGTCTCTCACATAAAACCAAGTCTTATTATGAAACATTGACAGAGTTGAACACAACAGGTAACAAAGACAACCCTCCCTCACACAATGCAACACGACATGTCATACATGGATTTAATGGGTTCATAAATCGCTGAACAGCTAACATGTGTGCAAGAAAACAGTTTGATATGTGGTCAGTGCACGTTTGTCTGATCATCTCTGAATCTTGAGCATTATTATCTGAGATAATAACTCTGATTGGTTCACAGGAGGTTGGTGTGACTCGCAAAAGCTTAGATTTAGCACACACCTCATAAAAGGTGTTCATAAAAAAATCTCTGCCAGAGATTCACGAGTGTCTCCATGGTTACGCCTCTGAATCAGTTGATTGCAGTTATCAGTAAACGTACTGCAGCCTGAAGAATAACGTGAGCCTTAAGTTACTTTATGGTCAGCAGTTACATGCGTAACCAATTTGATCAGAGCAGAGCATTTCAAAAAAATGTCCACACTTTTCATCCATGTAAACGCGTTGTGTTTGTGCTGCAGCAACACCTCCCACCTCCCCACAGACACTTTCAACTTTTTGTCTAATCCAAAGATGTGACCCAAAAGTCTGCACTACAGTTGTAATAGAAGAATCACAATGCTTTTTCTAATAACCAGATACTGACAATAACAGTACCAGAAGCTCAAACAAACTAGCAGTAAGAGGGAGAGATTCAATCAGACATTTCTTAGTTTCTCTTGGCTTCACTTAAGTCCTTTGCACACCGGCCTGATTTGTGCCTACATCCTTTAGGTGGAGGAAGTGAGGAGCCGACAGGAAGCAGAGAGGAAAAACCAGGAAGTGAGTCACAGCCAGAAGATGGAGTCTCTCAAACTGCAGTATGAGATCTCCTTACAAGGTGTGTGCAGGACCAACATATACAACACCTTTCACAGCTCAACATTTGGAATAGTCTATTACCGGCTAAACAAAGCTGAGGACTTTACACATTTAACCATCTTAAGCGATTTATATGTTGAACTGTTCAGGCATTTATCGCTTTGATATATTGAATTACATTTTCAAGATGAGTCATTACTGATTTGTCAGGCAGTTTGCTCGATCATTTTATGCTAATGTATGTTTGTGTATTTCAGAGCTGAATAGGATCCAGAACCTGAACAAAACACTGAAGGATACCGAAACATCTCTTTCTGTAAGAGACCTTAACACTGAAGTTTCAAAAGAAGGTGTACAACATCAACCTCGTAATGAAACAAACAGACACTTATTGTAGCATTTTTAAAACGTTCCTAGAACCAGAAACATGTTGTAATTCAAAGTGTAGTTCCCCCCCAAAAAAAAACAATATAACTGTATATAGTACTCACATTCCTAGGCTGTCTTTGGTCCCACAAAAGGTCAAATGGCATTGAGGAGAGCGGAGCCGAATTTTCGCTGAACTATTGCTAAACTAAACATTTCCTGATTAACCTGTGCAATGCTTTGTTTAGCAATGGTTTAGCAAAACTAGTTTGGATTTCCATGAGAATTGGATAATGCTGCACAATAGTTCAGAACGTTTTTCAGACATTTTATAACCTTTTTTTTGTATTTCAGTCGGCTTCCATCTGTTTGCAATGATATGCTTACAATTTTCAGGCTCTCCGCTTTCCTTAATGCCATTCAATAGAAAATCTTTTCTGGGTACTACGTACAATTTATTTTGTTTTGGAGTTAATTATCCTTTAAGAACAGAGTGTTAACGGTGAGTTTCAATTGTTTGCCTAATTTTGAAAGAGCCTGGTATGCACTGATCTATTTACTGTATCCTTAGTGACTCACTGCAGGGTGGTTAGATGTTTAGTATTTGCTCACTAAACAGGTGCTATCAAACAAGAAACTTTTCCAGTTTGGTTTGAAAAAATGCCTGATAACACAGCAATATTTTTTTTGCACTTTGTCACATCACTGGAGTCATTACTGACATCACTGGAGACATTACTGACACAGTTAGATGAGTTTACCTGCTACTGTTTTTCACTCTCAGGTGTCCTAACTTTGTAAGAACCAAAGCTCAGTGTTAACCCAATAATTCTTCTTTCTTTGTCCTCCTCTGTCCCTCTTACTAGGAGAGCATTTGTGAGCTGTCAGCAGAGAAGGGGGCTCTGAATGAGAAGCTGAAAGCAGAGGAGGAGAGGAGGAGGCAGATACTCACTGACAAGAATCTGGTAAAGTTGGTTACATCTGCAGTAATAGCTTTCTGTTATTGTTACTCTCTGCTCAGACAGAACACAAAGATTTTGGAGGCTGTGGCGATTGATAGACAATATTGGTCTGAATCTGTTTATCTGCTTCCCCCTGCTGGTTTGGGAGAGTTAAACACTCAACTTTAACTCACACTTAAAACACATTTGACTTAATTCACATCCATTGTAGGCTGTTTAGCTCACAAAAATGACATGATAAGCATGACCGCATGGTGACTTGGTATCAATATTACTATCTTTGTCTGTGCTTTCCCCACTGAGAGCATTCAAGTTTCATGTGTTTGTTTGTTTGTGCAGAAGGACTCCCACACAGTGTACCTGGAGCAGGAGCTGGACAGTCTTAAGGTGGTGCTGGAGATCAAAAACAACCAGCTGCACCAGAAGGAGAAGAAGCTCATGGAGATGGACAAACTGGTAGGCACCAGTCTTTCTCACATATTATCATCTTGGAGTGTTGGTTGCAGCACTGTGGTGGCATTTCCAGTCTCAGAAGAGTCTAATATTCCAAAAGTAATGTCCCTTTTGTACATTATTTTGAGGGGAGAATTGGTCAAATTGTAGATGAACACAAAACATACAGTCCAGCCATATTAACACTGTTGAGAGACTTGTATGCTTGTACACCCAACCAGTCTTTTTGTGTGGTGGTGTGTGTCACAGTTGGAGACTAATGTGAAACTAGAAGAGTGTCTGACGAAGGTCCAACAGGAGAACGAGGACTATAAGGCCAGGATGGACAAACACGCTGCTCTCTCCAAGTACGTACTCCAGGTGCTGTGTGTGTGAGATGGTGACTCATCTCTCTGCAGAGGCGTCTATCTTACCATCTGCTCTTACAGCAGGATTGTTAAGTCGATCTGCCTCCTGTTTTTCCTCCACTTCTCGCTCAGTTATCCATCGACCTCTGCTTCATGACTCAATTAGACCTGTAACTCAACCCAAATTATCATCATGAATGTAAAGAACAAATATGGCCTTTGTTTTTGTTGTGAGGACTCAAAGCTGTCAGCATGCGCAGGAAGGTAGACAGGCAGGCATGAAATGATTGCATGGGCTTATTGCAGTCCTGCGACAACCACAGATACCTTGTCCTTTTCTCATAGCATCTGATTTATTGGGATGTAAAGACAATTTCCAGTTAAAGCAGACCGGTGAAAACATGGAAATTTGTTACAATAGCAGGAGTATATTTTGTTGGATCACACATGGACGGTTGACCTCTGTTAGTTCTTGTTTGAGAGTTCAGTTTACCTTTGAAAAAGTTGACGTGCGTGAAGCACTTATTAAATCCAAGTTCAGTTAATTCCTTTCAAATCGTTTCAACATCCTTTTTAACGTTTCAAATCGTTTCAACATTAGAGTCCAGTCTGATAGCCTCAGTGTTTCTCCCCTCAGCTCACTCCAGCTCTCTGTCTCCCCCTGCAGGCATTTGTCCAGTGAACAGGCCAAACTCCAGCAGATGCTGCAGAAAGAGTCCAAGGTCAACAAGCATCTGTCCATGGAGAACGAGGAGCTGCTGTGGAAGCTGCACAATGGTGACCTGCTGGCGAGTCCCAGCCGCCTCTCACCCACCTCGCTCTTCGGCTCACCGCGCAACTCTGTCTCCATCCCCACAATTGCACCCTTATCGCCCAGATAACCCCAGCAACGAATGACAAACCATTCCTCTCCTGTGACCTCCTACTTGTCCTTGTCACCTTTACAAGAGAAAGACCAGTCACAGCAGTGTTGCTGGATATTAATGATAAACTTGTACATTTGGAATAAATTGCTTAAAAGACGCTTCTCTTGAAAGTAAAAAGACATTGCAGTGGCACCAATGCACTTATGTCTGAGAGTGGGACTGACCTTGCTCTCTACCAAATGCCTGGTTCTCCAACAAACCTTTCTTCTTTTTGTGAAGAAAGCATTAATAACAGGCACACCTCAGGGTCTGTACAAGGCTCCTCACTCTTGTTATGACTATCCTAACCTGTTTTTCCAATATGTTGTACAGTTTAAGTCCCGCTCATCCTGTTCTTTTATACCGCTCTTTCTTAAGAGGTGGATGAGAAAAACTTTGGATTTGTGGCGTATGTAGGTTTGTGGAAAGAGACTCAAAGTTGTTTGGGTTTGGCAAATCATAAAATGACGGGTACCTCTCGGTGGATTAGCATGGATTCTTTTGCCTTTTCCCTTCTTTTTAAAGAGGACGTTTTTCCCCCAAACAGCGAAGTTCAATCACTTATTTGCTTTGGACCTCTGGAAGAAGTGGATGAACTTGGTGTCCTTCTGTGGGCAAACAGGAACTCATATTCAGTTTGTTCATCTGAAGAACTGACCGAAACTACTGACATGATCCTTTGATCCAATGGATGTCTGTTCCTCCATGTAAACTCCTCACAACCTCTACGTGGAATGTAATCACCTTTGGATGTTAATCTGAGCAGCCCAGTTTAGAGACACAAACACTATCTCAGAGCCAAATATGCAGAAGAAGTGTGCTGGCCGGGACAGTGTTCACCCCCTTTACCAATTCCTTTCAATCTCACATTAACAAAGACATAAGACCCCCCCATCCCGCCCCACAGCCTCTAAATCACCTTGTGCCCAAACAGAAACAAGGCAAAGCTGAACTAGTGGCTGATCAGTTATCTGTCTTTGCTTTGGGTCACGTGATCATTTCCATAAAGAAAACTCCCAGACTCTCCCTAACTGGCCGGTAACTGGCCTGTTTTACAGAATCACTTTGTCTGTCTAGTGTCTGTCCTGTAAAACCTCAGATGTACCCAGTTTGCCTCAATTCTCTATGTTCAGTTTTCTTTTGGACACGGAATAAATATAATGACATTAGATCAAGGCAACATTGTTTAATTTTCAATATCAAAATAAATGCAATGGTTTACATTTCTGAAAGTCAAAAAGGCGAGTACACGATGTGAGTGAGATGACACTGATTTCACCCTGTGTCACATGTTGCTTCCACCACTTGCTCGCTATCGGCCATGAGGAACTTCAATGACGTTGCCTGCCGCTTTGCTGGGGTCGAGTTGAACTGGTGGCGGATGCTCGAGGTCAGCGGCTCGTACCATCATAACCACGGATTTGATGGAGTACCACCACCCATGCCATGTGTACCACACCACCCCATCATCGGTCATCGCTTGATACGGCCCTTTGTAGTAGTGACCGTTCAAGTTGCCTGAATCGCACCTGTGATTAGGACGTAAAATAAAAAGAAATATAGGAGACACTTGGCCAGCAGTAACTACTGTATAAATATACTGGTGTGTGAGTGTGTGGATTGCCATTTTGAACTTTGCTCCCTTGTTTTTCCTCTATTCATTTGCACATGTGGTTCTTCACAGCATAACTGTAGTGCCACAGTGAGACTGACTGAAGTATTTAGTTTCTAAGTATTAAGTATACCTGCTGAACCACCAGCCTGACTTGCTGTGTCTGATACACCTGGCGTCCTTTTCCGCGTCGCCGCCATTTAGCCGGTCAAAGGTGCTGAACTTGACCCCACTGTCTGGACCAGTCCATTTCTTCCCAGCAGAGGGGGAACCACGGACGTCAGCCAGGGCATCTCCTGCATTCCCAGTGTACTCTCCCACATGTAACTGGTACTGGTCCTTTGAGTGAACAGGGGAGTCAAAGAAAAGAGTTTTGAATGAATCATTGGTGTTTCAAAAGCGCTTTGGTATTTTTACATGGAGCCAGATGTCCTGCTGTTGTTTCCATACATAGACTAAATAAGGAGCCTACTGTTATGGGAAATGAATAGAGGGCAAGGTTAAAGACTGACAAAGAATGCTAATCAGAAGAGAGACAGACGGACAGAAGAGAGGGTTACAAACTTTTTTTACAAGATGGAAAAATAATGCAGTGGATTACAGACAGAAATTGATGTAATACAGTCTGCAGAATTTAAATCATTTTCCAAAAATGCGTTAATTCCACAAAGGAGAATGAGATTTTTTTAAATGTAAACTTGGTTCAAAATGTTGAATCCTGTTGAAGGAATCAACTTTTGGTTGCTATAACTCGTATTACAACCCTCACCTGAGACAAGGTCTCTTTTTATTTTTACACTCTCCTACTTGTTTGTTTTTACAGTGTCTCTCTTTCACCTTTTCATCATCCACATTGAAGTTCTTGTACTCTGCATAGCGCTGATTTCCCTCAAAGTCCTCCATGTTGATCCGCAGGTCGTAGTTTCCTAGAAGACACCGAGTTACAGAGGCAACGCTCCTATTATGAATAAATCGTGTACACACACGCACATACAGATAGACGCACCTTGTGAAGTGAGATCGTGGAGAGGTTTATTGCCCAACCAGAATTCTCCATCAGGTGAGTAGAGGTCTCCAAATCCATGCTTGTACTCCACCCACGCTCTGCACACAACCGGGGCACATACTGATTTTACATTCACTCACAATGTCAAATTTCTCGACACATGCAGATTGTCAATTCCAATTTTTTATGTGTGTCAAGATGACACACCACACACACACACCTGTCAAAGCTCTCTTTGCCGTCTTTCCTCCTCTGGAAGACAGTCCATCCTCCTCCGTTGTTCATGTCACAGTAGACGCTCAGAGCGGTGTGAGAGCCGTCTGGACGTATCACATACAGCCCACTGGCCACGTTATCGTCTGCAAACACCTCAGAGCAGTCTGAATGTACAAAGATATTCAAAATTAAATATTCAAACCAGGTAGATAAAGGAAACAAACAATAGATGCAAACAAACACAAAAACTTATTTGCTTTACATTTTTGTGAGATTTTTCTTAGCTGAAGAGTTTTTTTCCCCCTGTGAAGCAGCTGCAGGGTCACGTGGAGGTGTTGACTAAGCAAAATGGTAACTGCTGATTGGCTGCTCGATAAAAGTTGGTTATCAGGGCTTTAAAGTACAAAGTTGTTTTGGCTAACAAGTTGTCCATTTACAAGTCCAGCAGGCACAAAGCAAGATTAGCATTCATTTGATTTCAGGTCACCAGATGAATGTAAGTTTGACATTCATTCTCCTTTGAGCTCTGTTTGGGTCTTCACCAACTCCTGTCTCTTTAGCCGCTAAATGCTCCACTATGTTCACCAGATAGTTCCAAACATTGTCTGTCGTTTGGTGCTGGGCAGGTAGCGTACTGTGGCTTAGTGTTTAAAACACCTGCTGCAGCTGGATAGTTCATACAACTACAATTGTTATGAGAGGCTAAATGGCTCTGTAACGGAGGGAAACTGCAGAGTTGGGGATTATTCTCTCTGGGTTTGCCACTACAATATATATTTTGTATATATACACATGATCTAATAAGAATTTATACCATTGTAGTGGTAAGTAACAAACAATAAACAGTACTTTTTCCTTAAAATAATTTTCTTTTTTACTTTATCATTGAATAATTAAAAACACTAATTAGCATAGCTCTAACACTTGTGCTAAAGACTCTGCCAGGACTTAAGCCGGTAGTATAAGTAGCTAGTAATTAAGCTAGGCAGGTAGCCTATAAGAAGCCTTAAAGTGAAGGCAGATACAATTAACACAAATGGAAATCTCTCCCTACCTCTATAGAGATTCTTGGGGCCCAGGTATGAGTTGGGTATGTATTCCAGCTGCTGGGCCTGGCTGTTGTGGAGCTCCTGGATGTAGCGATGCTGGTCGTTGATCACCTTCATCAGATCCCGGATCTCCGCTTCCAGACGGATCACCTTCTCCTCACATGGCACAGGAGCCTGGACAGAGAAAGAAAGACTAATTTAGTAACTGGTACATGCAGGGTTACAGTCAGAACCAGTCAACAACTTGCTTCTTGGATAAAAAACGCAACCGTTATGCAAAGAAAGTTAACCCTCTAAAATCTCCTTGGTCAGGAAACATAAATTGTCAGTTTAAGTGATGAACAAAGAGATAAGAATTTTAAAAAATCGATGATCCTTGCAGTTTTCAAACAATCCAACAAACCAAACGGGTGAAAAGGGCATGGAGGTCAGGATAACAACAAGGCTGCTGACACCTGTTCAGGTTTAATGTCAACCTCAAGATGTATTCTTGCATTGTTAGAGAGGCACGTTTTTAGTATGTCATTTATTTGGGGATCCGGTGTTACCCAGAGTAAAGCTGCTAAATAGGTTTTCATCTGTAACCACCTGGGTCAGTTGACACACAAGTAGCATAACTATCGAGAGCTATCGAGAGCAGTTAATGTTTTGTAAATGACATTTTTTAATACTATCACAACCACACAACAAATCTAATCACCTCTGTACTATGATTTGAAGGGAGAAATCTTACTTTACTTGCACAAAAAAAACTATCTGCACGGAAAATGGAATGATTAGAAAACAATAGTACAGTATAATATAGTGAAAATGAGCTGGTGTTTCTTACCGCCAGAAAGGCAGCTATGTGAAGAACAAAGGCCATTAATATCCTCAGCATTCCCATAATCAGTGATCTGATTGGTGACTGAATCAAACTGTCACACTCTCTGGTCTTTGCAGTCTTTAGAGTCTCACGGACTATCTCTCTCTCTCTCTCTCTTTCTCCTCCCTCTCTCTCATGTTGTTCGTTGCTTTCTCCCCATGACTCTGTATGGCTGGAGATTATTAGACTGCACGTGGACCAGTGACGTACCGTGAGGTTCGTGGCCGGTGAGGCACTGACTCTTTCAGATTTACAAATATATGAACCCAATAGAGTAGCTTAAATCACCATTCAATTGGCAGCTTGCACATTGACTACTGGTTGTTTTTCATATTTCAGATCAGCATTCTTTACACACACATAGGTACGGTACATATTTGATTCCACCGGGGGCGTGTGCTCCGCGATCTGCGACCTGCCCCACCGAGAGCGTTTCAGAAGCGGAGCGCGCGCTCGCCACCCGCAAAAATCGCGAGATCCCGCGATAATCCGCGTAACAACCACGGACGTATAAAGAGAACAAACACATAAAAGGTTACTTTACCTGTCCGACGTTGAATTGCTGTCAATTTGGTCATATTTTCCCGTTTTTTAAGCTTAGATATAGAATCTTCCATTTTTGCGGTCAAAGCTAAATATTTTCATACTTCACACAAAATATGTTTTTGTGTGAAGTTGTTTTAATAACTAAATAATAATAATAAATAGGAAGAAGATGATGAAGAAGTTATCAACACAGAAAAGTGGGTTTTATATTTTTTATATTAGAGAAAAACAAAAACGATAATAATGTAACATAAAGGATTTAAGGTATAAATAAACTAAAAGGTGCAATAAATGTAATGTAATGTAAAGTGCAACATAAATAGAGAGAATATATCAAGAAGACAGAAATATCCAAACCTGTTGTCTATTTCTACATAGTTGAAACAACAATAATAAATTGGAACAGAAACGATTTCAATAATCAGTAATACAGTAAAAAATTATAAAAATATTCTGTGTACATAAAGTTTATAAGCATTGGAATATTGGTGTGGGATCATTGATCAGGTGACAAGACCTAAAGTGTAGAGACAAGATGGTCACGGATCAGATATCCAACAATACTTTACACACGCGGGCCCCCGGCCTTAAAACAGTGACCGTTGTAAAGCCAAACTCTTTAACAGTGCGAAGAATTTTAGCAATTTAAAAATCCTGACTCAACGAATACGCTTCTACCTGACTCGTGTTTCAAAAATTGAGATTGCATCGTTGTGTTCAATTGTAGATTTGAGACGGAATCAAATCGTCATAATTAACAACTTACTTGTAAAAACTCACACACACATACACATAGACAGTTCCAAACATATTACGATGCTGGAGGGTTTTCATCTCCTGGCTTTTTTTCCAATAACACAGTTTCTTCAGCATAGCCCTCCATTCTTCGAATGACTTAGTGTCAGACTCTTGACAGTACCAGTGTTCCCAAAGTACTGAAGGTGTGATGGTGGCTTTCTGTCTTTGTTGCACTTTCTGCAAAGGATCACGTCTGTCTTTTTCACGTACTTTCTCTTGACGGTTCCAGTTTGCTCCATCTCCTATTTTCTTTTCCTGTACTGTAAGGACTCCCCACTAACTATTATTTGGCCATATTGCTGCATTAATTTAGCCTACAAGCGTCTCTGCTCAGCCATTATGAGCCTACCTGGTCCTGACAGCAAGCAAATTGAGAATTAATTCATCTTCGGGTAAGCAATGTATTGATTAAACTCTGTTGGTTTATAGTTGGATTTACTAAACAGACTAGTTTAGTAAATCCAATTGAGTAATTGTGCAACAGAGCTCCACTTAATTATAAATCTGGATTTTCTTATAAACCTAGCTTCGCTGAACAAAACTTAGATTAAATAAATCCTTGTAACCTGCCTCCTCGACCCCTACCAGCAAAACCTTTTAAAGATCTCTGGGACCTACAACACTGAATATTTGTCACTTACAACTGGCATTGTCACCATGCTGAATTTTTAAAAATACCTAATAGCATTATTTTTATCTTTATATTGTCTTTCCGTACCTTGATTAAGTGTCTGCCAAGTGTGAGCTGTGTGTTGAGAGAGCCCATTTCCATTTCCTATGGGTGAAACCCTCTGAACTACCCGGTGGGAAAGAACTTGGACTAGTGAGTTGTGAGGAGAGCCCAGCCTAGTGGGGAGTCGCCCCTTGATTTAGATAGGAACTCAGTTTGTCTTTTGTGGCAACATAAGCAACATTGAGGTGTAAATCTCATGCGAGTCATATCGAGGAAAGCCCAGAATTCAATTTGCCTTTTAGTCTTGTGAACAGACGTATTAGTCAGAGAAGCACTGATACAACTGTCTGTCTGTGTGTGTGTGCGCGCCTCCTTGCTGCATGACAAATGTTCAGTTTTCTTCTGAAGCTCAAGTAAAGATTCTTCTCTTCAATTTAGAAGCTGAGTGAAATGTCCGAGTGATTCTTTCGCACCCACTGGACTGCTGCGGTTAAACCTCTTTATAAGAAACCACACCTTTCTGCAGTCTCTAACCTTCCATTCTATACAAAAGTACAAGAAAAAGTGGCTACTTTGCAACTTTCAGCCAAACTATTTAATCTTTTCAGTCCGCTTTCATTCTATTAAAACTGCACTTATAAAAGTGGTGACTGATCATTTACTATGAATTCAAATTCCACCTCAGAGCTTCTACTGCTGGATCTCAGTAGAGCTTGTTAATTGTCAGTCATTGATTATTGTATATTCCCAAACCGACTTTATAATCTATTTACCGTCTCTGGCCTGGTTCTTGCGAGGTTTAAATCCTGCCAAGGGTTAAATCTGATGTCGGAGAAGCAGCTTTATCTTTTTATTGTCGTCCCTTCTTGAATACCATGCCAGATTGCATCAGATGTGCTTCAACTTTAACTGTTCAATAGCACACAAACTATTCCATTTCCTCCTTTCCCTGCAAATGTAAAATAACTCTTTGTGCTGTCTTTTCAGGCCATCAGGGGGCAGCAGATGGGACATGAAGAGAGGATGGTCCTCACCCTGAAGACACGGCCGCAATGCACGCTATATTAGTATTTAACAATTAAAGCAAATGTATTAATAAAAAAAATTTAAAAAATTTAAAAAAAAGTGATTATGAGAAACAAATGGTATTCACAAATGTACTCCTCGTTATTTTAACATGGACTAACGGATGTTTGCCATAACAGCATCAACATCCATTCTAACTTGAGTTGTTAGTTGTAAATAATTTTGCTTAATTATCTCATGCCATGGATTAATTTGCATTAGCCTCAATGATTTAAATTTCCTTTACCAAGATAGAGGTACCGTGCATAACTTCATTACTCACTGCATTCCACACCTGTGCTTTAACTGTGGCTTGTACAAAGAATGTGAATGTTTACCACATCTTCTCACTTGTATTTTAGAAGTGATTTAATTGCAACAGTAATTAAATGATTCGCATTTAGATGGTTCCTTTCAAATTTTGGACATTAGTGACTCACGTCACTGGAATATTTTAAACAGACTATTTGTCATTCATCCACTAATGGCAGGGGCTACCATGCAAGGTGCCACCTGCCCATCAGGACTAACCAACCTTTCAATTTGGGGTTACGCATCTTGCCCAAGGACTAAACATGGACTAGAGGAGCTGGGGATCGAACCACCAATTCCTCTGATTGAAGGATGACCCTGCTCAACCACTGAGCCACAGTCACTCAGTGGAGGTAACTGAATTGAATCCTTCACTTCCATGTTCACTGCCTCCTCTCCATCACCCCTCATTCTCAAATTACACATTCTCTGGAAGCATAAAAACATTTTAATACATTTAATTTATTCCCCTGTACTTACTGGAACAGATGCACATATGCGGGGTTGTTTTATATTGTGAACATTACAAATCCTTGGCGTGTGACTGTCAGTCATGTACAGTAACACCTCTGAATGTGGTACATCATCATAAACAACTGCGCAGTGTGGCTTAAAATTATTCCAGTGATGCGATGGCCTATCCTTCATGAATTTAAAAACTCTTCAGAATCAGACAATATAAATTAGTATTCACTTTGACTTTCATGGACTTATACTGAAGCATTTTCTTTTGTGCGACCCTGGAGATGGCAGAGGATTCTATGGCTAAGTGAGGTCTAAAAATATTCTGCATCTTGATTAAATACAAAGTCTGAAAGATCCAATACACTGATGTCATAAGCATTACTACATAATATTGTGAGTCTTGAAGACATTCACTTTCGTATTTCCATTTGATTATTAATCCTTTTTTCTTTATAGGAGTCAGGTCCCTTTACGATACAATCAATTTTGAAAAAGTATAAACTTGTAAACATGTATTTTCAACTAATTGCTCTTATTAGAAAGCATCTGGGTATGCTGACCATTTGGACCACTTAAAATAATGCCAGTCACGGAATCTTTTGATGGCTAATCCAGTTAGGCTCACCAAACACCAACTTTTAAACATGAATCTTGAGCAAACATGAACTCTAGAGTTATGTCAACCGCATTTTTCATGTCATTTGTTGTATATGTAGTCATCTTCTGTTGGTGCTGAACACGGTTTCAAAATGAAAGAAAATCTGGGGGTGTGGAGTTGAAAAGAAGTGAGCCTAACAGACCTCTGTAGCCAGCTGCTCATCCCTGCCTCAGGAAAGAGGCTACATTAGCTGCTACTAGCATAAAACCCAACTACTGCATGCAGTCGATTTGCACTGTGGGTAATGTAGGCGGTGGAAGAATGCTTGGAAAAGACATCTCTGGTTCTTTTCAGAACTGTCCATCTGTGAACTGTGTGACGATGTTGTAAGTGAAGCACTTAATGTTTTACACAATGTTTGGTCCTAGCACTGTAAGATTTGACTGAAACACTAGAAATAGAAATACTTTTTAATTTGAAGGTTCATCACAGGCATAATCGTAAACAAGATATTTAAAAATGCAAATTTCATTCCAGAGACTAAAGACAAAGAAAAACAAGTGACAAGAGATTCTGCGGTATTAAAATTCAATCCACGAGGGATTTACCACACACACACACACACACACGCGCGCACAAACACACACACACACACACGCGCGCGCGCGCGCTCGCACACACACGCGCACACACACACACGGGAGGGAGTTGTGTTGATATCTGTTGTAACTTCTAACTGGACAAAGAAGTGATCCTGTGAGAGAAAGGAAAAAAACTGTTAGTTTGTATTTCCATACTTATGCACATTGTGTTCCTACAACAGTGAAATAACATGTTCAATCAAGTAGCGGTTTGCTCTGACATGAGACCGATAAATAACTAAATAACAAATATCCTAAATAAACACGTCACAATTATTTACAACACTGAATGCTGCAACTCACAAAAAAGCAACATGCCACTTTTTGTGTTTGTTGATGGAACTCACTGTAGCTTGTCCTGTAACAGCTCCAGCCTCTGCCGATCAACATAGCGTGAGAAGAGGGAGAGCAGGTTGGGAGGCGTGAAGAGGGGAGGAGAGAGAGATGAGCTGGGCACGCTGAGCAACTCCCTCGTCACTGAAAACACCAACTCAGTCCTGGACGGAAAGGTGGTGGTCAGCAGAAGTGGAAAAAAAATAAATTGTGAAGAGAAGACCCGAGGGAACAACAAATAACTGATTGCAACATTTTGTCTAAGGGAACGGAAACATTTTGGAATGAGTCAGTATGACAACATCACTGACACACCAATATCTTACCATCGATTGTCGTCCATGAGTTGACAGTTGGGATCAGAGCTCTGCATCCTCTCTCCTTCACTCAGGATCAGATACAGCAGGGTCACACCGAACTAGACAGAAACAAACAAAAGGTGTGTGTGTGTAACGTGTGGTGTTTGTTCCGGTGCCTCCCATTTGTCTTGATCATCTACAACAGGGGTCAGTAATAGGTGGACCGCGGTCCGGATCCGGACCCAAGCTCAGTTGTATCCGGACCCTGGCCCTAAAACCGATAAATAACTGAGAATTATTAAATTTTGACGGAGCGCTTCTACTTTAACTGACGCAGCTTTTCTAGCCTTTACGGCTCGTTCAGCGGTGCAGGGAACGCACCGACCAATTAATGTACATGCGTTGTAAATCACATCACGTGATGCAGCTCAGCCAATCAAATATGTGTATTCTGGCAGGTTTCCCGACTCAAGTGAGATTCACACACACCGGGGGAGAGTCGAGGAAAGAGAACGAAGAGTAGAATAATTACGCGAGTCAGAAGATATTTCACATGATGTTCTCCATATAGAGAAAAGTATTCAGAAAGACCAGAGTCTTTAACCAAGAATGGACAGACTCTTATAGGTTAATTCTTCCTATGGGCAGTTTAAAACCAGTGTGTCTCTTGTGTTCAGAGGCCGTGACGATTATTAAAAGCAGTAATGTGAAGCACTGGGTATTTTAGTTTTTAGCCAATGTTACTCAAACAGTAGTACATTTTTCCGATGCGGATTAATACACACGTGGAGTGCTAGTGAGTATATATGGCAGCCAGATAGTGAATGTGGAATTCACAAAAAATAAAACTACAGCGGCCATAGTAATGAAGGAACATGTCACCCAGTGCAACAGTTGTGTGTTTAATAGTTTCTGGACAACAATAGAGCTCTACGGCATAAAGGAATACATAGGCCTTACAATAGGCCACCTGTCAGTAGATACATTCGTTGGTCTCTTAATGGCATTTCTTGTCGATTAGGAAATACAGAAGATCAGAAGATGGACAGCCTTGTCTTTTGAGGTCAAGTAATCATCAGTCTAGTGACATGACAGCAGTTTAGTACATTAACTACATGACATGCAGAACCTGTTATCTGCATGCTCTACAAACATCAAACTTTGAAGTTATGTTGAGACTGGACTGAGCAGGCATCAGTACACACAGTTTGCTGAACTACAGTGTAGCTCCAACTGTTTAAATCCATAGTCAGTTGGTTTGATGTTGAAGCGAGAACATTACTTATCAGTTTGACCAGAGGATCAACTTTCTCTCATCTTTGCTCCAAAGTTAATTAATTACTTTGTATTTTAGATCATTCTGCAGTGTGTGTGTGCATGTACCTTGTTGTGCAGTACTGTAGCCAGTTGGCCCTCACTGCCCTGAAGCTCCTGGAGCAAGTCTGTAAGGGCGGAGCTTGACAATGACTGGATCACTGCAGAAACCGGCCCCACTAACCAGCACAGCACCTGAAAAGAGCACAGACCAAGGATGAAAGGTAGCTGCTACTAGCAGGAAGCTCAGAGCATTTCAGAGTTTATTAAACTGATTTTATTCCATTGTGTAGGAGACATGTTTTATTGATAGAATGGGAAACTGCAGAACAAGACATTTAATAACTCTTAACTGTAGGGCATCGATGTCTTTAAGTGGCATTTAATAGATTAAACCTTACAGTACGGGTACAATTAATTTGTCTTATTTCATCCGATTGTAACACAATGCTGTTTTTAATCACGCGACACCAGCACAGGTTTTCCCATAGAGTTTTATAATAGCTCACCTGAAAGTCTTTTCCCCAGCAACTGCATGCATTTAATAAAAGCAGTTTTTGTTTAGGCTGTTAGTTACCAAGTAAGGGTCTAGATGGCATCCCACATGCGTTATAAAAGTCAATAGAAACCCTGCGACATGAGTTATGGAGGAAGGAAACATCGAAAATAAACACTAAATCAAAACTGTTAATATATCTCTAAAATACTTTTACATATTTTAGTACTGTATGCTGTAATTCAATTAGTTTGTTTTTATCCATATAGAGAAGATCAAAAATCATAATTTTAAACGCGTAATTTTTAAATCAAAGATGTTGGATTTTAATCTGAATAATAAAAGTGTCTTAACAAGTTGTAGCAAGTAAAAGTTTTAACTGATGACAAATGTCACACAGCTGTAGCTAATTAACATGAATTTTGTGAGTTTGTGAAACAACAAACTGACTCGGGACCTCAACAAGAAGCCCTGCCTTATTTTATTGGATTCTAAGTTTGATTATGCTTGGGATCAAATGTATCCGATGGACAAAAAAAAAAAATACATGTCTTAAGTCAAAATTTGAGAAAATAATTAGAAATTAAATGCATGCGCCAGATTTTGTTCAGTGGTTATGCACAGGTTATGAGAAAACGAAATTAAGGAACAAATTACTGGGTCTGCAGCAAATACTAATCAGTAATTCCAAAGTCCATTGAAACATGTTTTTAAGTTTGAAATATTTAACAACAAACTAACATGTTTCATTTTCATTACACATTTATGTATTTTAACGACACAGTCAAAGACGCTGCTGTGGATGCCTACTCGTCCTACGGAGTGAGAATAAATACAGATATATGTAGGAAAATAGAGATAAGCAAAGAGCCTCTGTTAGGACCTGGCGTTTTCACTGGAACTGTCTGGATTTGTGTGTGAACATGATGTTGCACCAGTTACCTGGTCCTGCTTGTCCTTCTTGGCCAGGGCGGGAAGGTTGTGGGAAATTGCCATGACAACGGCGGCAGCCTGAGGTGAGGGAAGGAAGGGGAGGAGCCTGGAGATGAGCCGCTTGCCCTTCCTCACCGACATGATCATCACACACTGCTCATCACTCACTCTTATCAAGAGGAAGAGAAAAATAATTAATGTGTGTAGATGGGCATATCTTAGCAGTTTTAATTATCTCATAATAATAACAACTTTATTTATATACAGTTGTGTCCAAAATAATAGCAGTGTGTTTATAAAAGTGAGTAAAGCCCAAAATCCTTATAATAGCTTTTATACCCATACACGCCAATGCATTGGGAACACTGCACATTCTATTCCAAATCAAAACATAAAGAAAAATTTCTCAAATTTGTTATTACTTTACAGAAAGTGAAGAATAAGGAATATTAGGCCGTTCAAAAATATAGCAGTGTCTGCATTTGTCTTTACAAACTCAAACATTTACTGTATAAACTGAAAAATGCTTGAAGATTTAGCTTTCCTGTGAATCACTGAACTAATATTTAGTTGTATAACCACTGTTTCTGAGAACTGCTTCACATCTGTGTTGCATGGAGTCGACCAAATTCTGGCACCTGTGAACAGGTATTTCACCCCAGGATGATTGGACTACATTCCACAATTCCTCTGCATTTCTTGGTTTTGCCTCAGAAACAGCATTTTTGATGTCAGCCCACAAGTTTTCTATTGGATTAAGGTCCAGGGATTGGGCTGGCCACTCCATAACGTTAATCTTGTTGGTCTAGAACCAAGATGCTGCTCGTGTTTGGGGTCGTTGTCTTGTTGAAACACCCATTTCAATGGCATTTCCTCTTCGGCATGAGGCAACATGACCTCTTCAAGTATTTTGATGTATTCAAACTGATCCCTGGTATGCAATAAATAGGCCAGACACCATAGTATGAGAAACATCCCCATATCATGATGCTTGCGCCACCATGCTTCACTGTCTTCACAGTGTACCGAGGCTTGAATTCAGTGTTTGGGGGTCTAGCGGCCGCAGACAGTTTGTCAGACGACCCCAAACACTGAAGCCGTTCTCAGAGACAGTGGTTATACAACTAAATATTAGTTCAGTGATTCACAGGAAAGCTAAATCTTCAAGCATTTTTCAGTTTATACAGTAAATGTTTGAGTTTGTAAAAGTTTGTAAAGACAAACGCAGACACTTTTTTACATTTTTGAACAGCCTAATATTCCTTTTTCTTCACTTTCTGTAAAGTAATAACAAATTTGAGAAATTTTTCTTCATGTTTTGATTTGGAATAGAATGTGCAGTGTTCCCAATGCATTGGGAATAAAAGGTATTATAAGGATTTTGGGCTTTACTCACTTTTATAAACGTACTGATATTATTTTGGACACAACTGTAGCACCTTTCAAAACAATACACTGCTGTCCTACATGCGGTTTTGTACGCAATTGCATAATGTACTGAGGCGAGTAAGAATAAGGATTGCTCAGATAGTCAAGGTATTCCTATATATCCATTTGATCTACCCCTCTCGCTAACCTGTCGTCCCACTCCTTCTCCCGCAGAGAGCTGCACAGCTGCATGGTGTTGGTTTTATGCTGCTCCAGAAGAGCCTCCCTGTCCTCCTCTGGCGCCTGGACAAAACGTTTTTCAAAGTCTTGAACCTCTAACAGCATACTGTACATCTGGTGGACAAAAGTAGATAAAGGGACACAGACAAGCGTCACACAGGAATTTTCTGTAATGAGCTCCTTGATGTCTAAATCCCATCTTATCTCAGGTAGGATGACATTTAGTATTTTTAGTATTACAGAAACATGTTTCCTAACAGCATTTAGGGAAAAATCCTATTTATATTTTAGAATGGAAATTAGGCCATTACAGAACTGTACCAATTTAAAGATTTCCCAAGTTAAGAATCCTCAGGTAGAAAGGCATAAATCCTGTCCTAAATTAAAAATAACTGCCATCGCACCAGCATGACAATAAGATGGGGAACAACATGAACATCAAAATATAATGATTTAAAGGCTACTCAAACCATATGATGACGCGTCAAATTTTCCGGACCATGTATGAATTAGTGGTGTAACGGACCACTGTTGATCCATGATCCGTACGGATCCCCCTCACGGTTTGGCACGCGTGTGAACCGCGGATTAATTCCACAGTTTAACGTTAACCATCACAGTGTGATATAAAGTTTTACTGACGATCGTTATCCACGAATATACAGTAAAATATATGATCAGGACATCGGCATTCATGCTCTCTAGTCTCTGAGATCTGATAATGTTACATTGTAAACAACCAGTCTGTGTTAAAATTGACACGAGGAGAACGAAGGTTCCCTTCAGTTACATTATGATACATTCAGGCTCTGTTCAGTGAAAAGGAGTATAGAGCGAAGGTAAATTATAATGTAATTTACATGTTCACATGTAATCTGTAAAATGTAGTTTTGATGAGAATTTTGAATAAATCCAGTAGTTTGAAGGAGATGTTTTCACATGAATATAAAATAGATATTAGTAGTTTTAATAATGTATCACAGCTAGTGTTAGGAAGTTAAACAGCTCATAATTCATCTCTAATGACAAGATTCAATAACATAACAAAGAAAAAAACACTATGAATTACTTTAACAAAGAAAAAAGATAACATTTTTGATAGTTTACTGACTTCAGACCGGTTGAAATTATTTTTTTGAATGGTTGCAAAAAAATAAAAATAAAAAGTCTGGATCCTTGTAGACCAGCTGCTATAATCAAACAAAGTGATCTGTACCTGCCAATATGGTTCATCAATGATCTGCAAATAGTATCGGTGGTAAAGAAAACGTGATCAGGGATCTAAAAGTTCTATTTGCTCCCTTTTTTCTTTTGTGCTGATCCGATTCGTGATACAATCCGAAACCTTAAGTTTTATGAGCTGTTGCACTACTAGTATAAATGGGTATATTTCAACTGCCAGGACAATCAAACAATCATAAAATTGAAATTGAATGTTTCCTGCAGTTTGAACTAGAGCTCGACATGTACAGCCATCCGCTTCCTACCTTCTCCACGGTGTAGAGGATCTGTCGCCTTTTGTTCCAAACCTGCTTCTCTCTTTTCTCCTGGGAGGTAGACAGACAGACTAATAAGACTTCAAAATGAATTGTTAAAATAATAAATCATACACCAGCAACCTGGTAAAGAATCTTCAAAATTAACAGGAGTTACAATTTAAGAGTAAACATTTTTAATACAGCAACAAATTGCTCAAAACTTAAACCGGAACTAACATTTAAGCATATAATGTGTATTGTATTGAATAGATTAGCCCCATTGTCATTAATAATAAATCCAGCTGTTGAAGTAGGCATCGGCCCAAAATCCTATCATGCATCCTTGTTCAAAACTGACTAGAAAAAAATACTTCCATGTAGCACTGATTAACCGGTACATAATTAATAAAGAAATATTCAAGAAGGAGCAGAACAAAATAGGAACATTATGGCATTAAACACTAGATTGCAATTTTTAGTAATAATGGTGAAAGCCCCTGTGCCTGTCTAACTTTCAAGAACCAAAAACATTGACATTGACCACAAACTATGGATGTCAGTTTTTGTCAATTTTGTTTCGATAGCCTGACACCCATTAACCACTAACTGATTAATCAGTTAACTGATTAATTATTCAGACAAAAAACGCAAAATGACGCGACATATGAGAGGCACTTTACAATCAATGAGCTCTGGCGCAACATTTCAAAGCCCTATATGCATCCAATTTGAATGTTTGTTGTGTTGCAACTGTCTTGCCTTATATTTTATTTCCTCTGCTTAAGTTTAGTGCTGTTTTTTGATCAGGTCGCGGGTGCTCCGGTGAATAGCCACAGATCGTTATCAGGTGATATTCATTCTAAATTGTTTGCATGGTGGTCTCTATAAAGGCTGATCAATTGAAGCTTTCTTTCAGCACCCATGTCAAATAATGTATAGACCGCAAATTATAATGTGTAGTCATGCCTAACCAGTCAAATATGTTCTTGGTGGTTAACCTGTTAACCCTCAACATCCCTACCAAGAACCAATCACGGGGCAGCTGACTGGTGTTTTTGTCCATGACACTATGAGGCAAATGATCAGTGGTTTGTGCAGCAGAGGGACTCCACAACCTTTCAAACTCGTAGGGTTTCCCCCCCCCCCCCCCCATCTGCCTACAGAGAGTCGCAGTGCCGTTGACGCAAACTCAGCACCTCCTGCAGCAGCTTCACAGTCCGACAGTGAAAGACAATGGTTTATGGCTATAGGAAGTGTTCAGTTCTAAACACAGAATTTGTCCTACACTGCGTCTTATAGGGAACTGCAACTTCAGATAATAATGCTGTCTTACAAAAAGAGAACATTGTGTTCACAAAAAGAAACAATGAAATATGCAAACAGACCTCGTCATCTGTGCGGGTTGTCACCACAGCATCAATCATCTTGCGAGGGTTGTTGACGCTGGAGACAGTCAGCTTACCCAGAGAGCCTGCAAACTGAACTGTTGACAAACACATAAGCATTCATTAGAGGTCTCCAGTGTCATGCATGTGATCACGTACTATGGAGTGCAGATAATACTATGATGTGTTCTGTTGTCATTTACCTGGTCTGTAGGTGTGTTCAACCTTAGCGACCTGTGGAGTGATCAGTTTGGTGGCGTATTCCTTCTTGCTGCTGTCCCTCTCTCTTTCCTGACGTTTCTCCATCTTTTCATAGTAGTTCTACATGTGCAACACACGCATCACAAGTTTCAGTGATCCTCAACCAACATTGACATTACCAGATAAAATATCTCTCTTCAAGTAGGGGTGGGAATCTTTAGGCAGCGCACGATTCAATTCCGATTCAGAGAGCTATTATGCAATTATAAAACGATTAGCGATTCATCTTGATGCATCCAAATTTTTTCGGTAGATGATTTTACTGTGACTATCTGGTATTTTTAAAACACTGCATATTTGTAACGATTCATATCAAGAATCATTACAAAATGTTATCATCAATGATTTTACTTCCATTATCTTTTATCACTTCAATATTAGTTACAAATTGAAGAGATGTGTGGAGGATTATATGTCCAACATTGAAAAGGTAGCCAACAAGAAAAGAAATAAAAGTGGGCCTGTAGCGGCATCCTCGTAGTAAAAACACAGACTTCAGCATGTTCTGAGTCATGTGACATAACAAGCTGCCCTTATTCACAAATAAATAATATATACTTCTCTTCAACCAAATCCCCTTGTTATAGGCAATCAAAATTCAGCTCTTGTACAAAAATAATACTTTCTGAACATGTGGTAAAACTATACATAAAGTGATAAAGTGCGCGGTTACAGTGACACAAGATTTTGTGGTAACGGATGTCCCGCATAGCAAGTTGTTACCATCCGACCCGCTTTCCTCAGTGACTCCTTGACCTTATCTTTGGTTTGTTTGCAGAGTAGCGCTGTGCTCGTAAAAACGCTGAGATGAATGTTGTATCTCGGTTCCAAAGTGTGCAACATAGCATGAAAGCTCTGATTCTCAATGGCTGAGTAACCCTTAGCAAATCTACTTCGTGGTTGACTTCGCCCTTTCCGGGTTGGGCGGAAGAAGAAGCGAAATACTTCCATACGTTGGCTTTTAAGACTGCAGTAAAGTCAGCAGACACTCTGATCTCCATGGTCAAATCAGCCAAACCTGAAATGTTAGTGCACCTACAGTATATACTGACATTCATGGTGAACTCGTTCAAATTGCCCAGGTCAGCAGCGAGCGAGAGACTTAGCAAAGTTAGCGAAGGGATCGATGTGAGACAACTTCTGGTTTTCAAAGTAAGATGTCAACAAAGTGTATATACAAATTGCATGTATGGAAATAACATTAATTGAATTATGTTCACATTAAGTATAAAACATGTTACCTGCATCTCGTGAGTTAAAGATAAAATACAACTAAATTGTGCATGACATTTTTTTTATTCGTTAATTTGAGGGTTGCTGGAAAGAAAATACATGAATAATATCTGACTGATATGATGTGTTCAGGACATTTCTGACCACATCCATACAAAATTCAAACATCTTAATTGTACCAATTAAGAACAAAGTAAATGAGGTTTCTGTATATATGAAGTTCTATAAAAAGTATTTTCTCAATAATTCCAGACAATGACATGCATATGTGTTCAGGACATCTCTGACTACACCATTACAAAAATGTATAATTTTTACTGTACCAATTAAGAGATTCTTCAACTTAAGTCATACATTTGTTTATTCAGAAAGCTTATTTCTGAATATAAAAATATTTTTCTCAATAATTCCAGACTGACTGATTTATGTGTTGACATCTGACTACACCAATAAGGAAAATCAAAAAAAAATTGAATGTACCAATTAAGAGATTTTTACAAAGAAATCATGCAAATATGCCGTTTTGAATGTCTTTTTATATTACACTACGTGCTGAATTCCTAACATTTTTCAACTATTTTTTGCTTAGTTCATTGTGTAATATTTCTATAATAATGTAATAAATTATTATATATTATGCTCAAAACTGTTTCTTTACAATATGTGCAGATTATTACATTATGAGCATTTATTACATTTAAATTATTACATTGTGCTCAGTTATTACAGTACAAGTTGCTACAACATGAAATTGAATAAAAATCATATTAAATGATAGAGCCTGCTTTGTGGTGGCAGATTGAAAATGACTAAACAGCATATAACCTCTGTCTTCATCAAGTAATGGTGGTTAATTTAATGGACAGCTTTAAAAAAAAAAAAAAAAGAAAAAAAAAAAAATTCTGATTGGAGTTGCGCTCTGTGTCGATAATTCCACTAAAAGTCTTGTTTTTTCTATGCTACACTTTTATCTTAGTCTTTGTGTACAGGAGGCGGTGGCCTAAAACATGTATTTTGCATGATTTTTTGTAAAATCTCTTAATTGGTACATTACATTATTGGGGTTTTCATTATCGGTGTAGTCCAGGGGTCAGCAACCTTTACTATCCAAAGAGCCATTTTGCCCTATTTTCCACCAAATAAAATTCATCTGGAGCCGCAAAAGCTATTTGATATCACAGCTTATAAAGTTTTATATATATAGTTATATTATTTATACAAAAACTATAGTTTGTTGTACTTATGAAAATATAGAACAGGAATAAAGACAATTCTTGACATTTTATTGCCATTTTACCTGTTATAACAACATCAAACTCCTATGAAGAGGAGAGTTTGCTGCAGCAGTTGAGAAATCGCTCTTTTTCACTTATCTCCAGCGTGACACTTTTCAGCAAATGCTGTGTGCTTGTTCTGGAAGTGACATTCAACATTACATTTTTTGCAAATTTCAAGCATACCAGCCAGCATCGTTGGCAGTGAAAGCAAACTAATACGTCCACACAGAATTAAACTCTATTTTCCTCCGTGACTGTTCTTTTTTGGATTTATCCATTGATAGTTTACCGAGGGCGGGGGTCTGCAAATCATGATTAGCCACCTGCAGGGAAAGGCGCTTGACAGGTGTAATAAGATGTGACGCACATTTTGTTGACAAATTATTTTGAAAATAAGTTGTCTCACATCGATCCCTTCGCTAACTTTGCTAAGTTTGTCCCTCGCTGCTGACCTGGGCAATTTGAACGAGTTCACCATGAATGTCAGTATATAGGTGCACTAAAATTTCAGTGTTGGCTGATTTGACCATGGAGATCAGAGTGTCTGGTGACTTTATCGCAGTCTTAACAGCCAGGGGGTGCTGAAAGGATTGTATTCATATTCGGCTGCTCAACCTCACCAAAACTCTTTTAGTATTTAGCGTAGTTTAGAACGTAAACAAGATGCATGTGTATTACGTCTTGCGTTCAGGGGCAGCGGAAAGGGATGGACAGCCCTGTGTCACAGAATTGTTACAGGCGATCGTAACGTTGACAATTGAGTTTAAATTTCCGATTATTGAGTTTTCTACATCAAGTCATAATCTTTTAAGAGAGAATCGCAATGCATCTAAGAATCAAATTTCCCCTCACCCCTATTTGCAAGGTGTGATTTTTTTCATTATTGACTGAACTCTCAATGATAATAGATTAATCATTTACACTACAAATTGACTATTCAATTCCAAAATGTTTAATTGTTCTTTTAGGTCAAAAATTATTTAAAATGTTAATACATTTGGTGACCGAATGATACTCGTTTTGTCTCCGTTAAAATAGTCACAGAAACCATTTTTTTGAAGGAAAGCAGAAAATCATCAATATAACAGGATTTGAAGATTTTCTCCATAGAGATCCCATTTAAAAAAAATTGCAAACAGCTTAATATTTCAAAGAATTTAAAGATTACAAATATGAAAAGTAATTTCACCCCTCTCCTGAAAGAGCTAAACATTTTGATATTCGAATGGTGTCTGTGGCTTAAAAAATGTCAGCAGTAGTGATATTTGTAGTAGAAGTTGTAGTAGAAGTATCATTAGTAGTAGAAGTATTAGTATTTAGAAGAAGTAGTAGTATCAGTAGTAGTAGTAATAGCTGTAGTAGTGGTCGTAGTATTTAATATAACAGTAGTAGAAGTAGTAGTAATGGCAGTATTTGAAGTAGCAGTAGTAGTAGTACTAGTAGCAGTCGTACTAATAGCTGTAGTAGTATTAGTACTGGGTACATGAATAGCAGTAGTAGTAGTTGTAGTATAAGTAATAGTAGTAGTGGTAGTAATAATATTGATGGTAGCAGCAATAGTAGTAGCAACAGCAAAAGTTGTAGTAGTAGCAGTAATACTAGAAATATTAGCAGCAGTAGTAGTAGTTGTCGGCGTATTAGTAAGAGAATTCATTATTTCAACAAAAAAGCCTAATTTTGAGCTTAATGTTTAAATACAGTTAATCCATGGGGCTTTTATTTTAAAAGGGTGGGGCTGGGTGGGGGAGAGAGGGGGAGAGGAGACATAATCATAATATTTGACACATAAACAGAGGTTATTAAATGTCAGGCTTCATCATAAGCATTTCAGTTAGAATTCATTCTGTGGGGCTTTTATTTTAAAATTGTGTGTGTGTGGGGGGGGGGGGGGG